ATGAGATTGCGAAAGGGATTGTGGCAAGTGTGGAAAAGTTGGATGAACCCCCAAAGACCAACCAATTGGAAATGCTACTGCAACGTCTAAAAGAGTCTATTTCAGGGAAAAAGTTTCTTCTTGTTATGGATGATGTTTGGACAGAAGACGATACCAAGTGGAAACCCCTGAAAAACACTCTCAAAAGTGGTGGAACGGGTAGCAAAGTTTTGGTGACAACTAGAAACGAAAGGGTTGCAATAATGATGATGGGAGAGTTTATAAAGAATGATCAGATGATCCATCGTTTAGGAGTTCTCAATGATGAAGATTGTTGGTCATTGTTACGTCGGATTGCCCTTTGTGGTAAGAACAAGGATGAATGTGAAGAATTTGAGAACACGGGTAAGAAGATAACAAAGAAGTGCAATGGATTGCCGCTTGCAGCAAAGACTTTGGGAAGTCTCTTACGTTTCAAGAATACATTGGAAGAGTGGGAGAGCGTGTTGAATAGTGAAATATGGGAGTTGGAGGAAGTAGAAGATGACCTCTTTCGCCATTTGTTTCTGAGTTACAACGAGTTGTCCCCAACATTGAAGCGTTGCTTCTCGTATTGTGCCGTCTTTCCTAAAGATACCAGAATTAATGTGGATGAGCTAATAACAAGATGGATGGCAATGGGTTACCTAGGATCGAATGCTGATGATGACTGGAAAGTTAGAGGGAGAGGGTACTTTGATAAGTTAGCAATGCGTTCTCTGTTTCAAGACTTTTATATGAAAGATGACGATATAAGGATAGAATCGTTTATGATGCATGACATTGTACATGATTTCGCTGAATTCCTGAGGAAGAATGTGGGATCAAGAATGAAGAACACAACTTGCAAAGACTGTAGCCATTTGTTAGTTTCCCGAGTCGAAAAATATCGTAGCTTGTGTCAGTGCGAAGAAGTTCTTGATCCACATGTTTGTGATTGCCTGGCAAGTGTGAGGTTGCTCGAATTAAGAAGTTGTGGTTTGAAAAGGCATTCCGAAAGAAATAGAAAAATTGATTCACTTGAGGTGGTTGAACTTGAGTCATAATGAATTTGTCGGTGATGATCTGAAGTCCATTTGTAAGTTGTATAACTTGCAATTTCTTTGGGTGGACTGGTGCGGGCTACAAGAAATTCC